CATAATTTTTAGATTATACAATCAAGATAGTATCTTGTTAATGTTAGTGATCCTAAATTTCAATATTTTAATAAGTGTTAGTTGGGATGTTGATAAATGATTTAATACTATTATTTGTTAAACTCTTCCAATTAATTGAGAACAATGTACTTCTCATTTTTGTTTAAGGAATTCTATTATGCATCATGTCAACATTATAGTTCTTCCTATTATAATTGACTTGCAATTAGAGTCTAATTTTTCATCTAATTATTTCAGTAGTGCAGTATATGTAAAATTGAACTACCACAATACACTTAGATGGAAAATAAGGAATGTAGAGAATAAATGCATAGTTTGAACCCTTATCTCGAACATGTGATATTTAATAACACAATTTATTGATTATCAATTTTGACTAGACAATTATCTCAGTATTAGGTGAGGAATTAAGAAGTTGAAAATAATGTATAAATGCATTATTATCTAAATCTTCGTTAAAGAATTGGAACTGAAAGTTCAAAAGATAATTTATTTAGATGCATTTACTGAACAAAGAGATAAACAATATCTCATGCACCAATTTTAAATGCTCAAACACTAATTGATGTTCTAGGAGGACAATTTGATATATTTGTGGCACGTTTGAAGCGTGATGGTATTCGATTTTAATACAAATTTTTTTCAAACAAAGATGGAGCAATTAAAAAAGATGGTCCCAGTTAAGAAGGAATATACTTTTAATGAGTATTTAAACATAACAAATTATAAAACGCTAGATGAGGTTCATGTACCTAATATGTTGAAAGTTGAGGCATCTCAATAAATTATGTCAATATGGGAATAGAAATAGAATCGAAAAGGAAAATTATCGACAATACATTTGCAGGTGCTGTATTGTATTTAAGGATGACAATCGGGCTCAGCGGCTCGAAAAAAGGCCGAGCTCGCTCGACTCGAGGCTCGAGAGAACAGAGCCGAAGGTCATGCCGAGCTCCATTTTTAGATGTCGAGTAAAGCCCGAGCCGACCGGTGTGACTCGTCGGGTGGGGAGAACCAAGCATATATTTTAAAAATAATAAAGGCAGCGTGTTGCTGCCAAAAATAGGCAACAACCTACTGCCTTTTTAATTATTTAAAAAGAAAAACAAACAAAACTCGATCTGGCCCGGCTCAGCTCGGAAAGGCTCGAGCTGAAAAGTTCAAGTCGAGCCTAATTTTTTTTGTCGAGCTTTTGCTCGGGCCCCAAAAAAACCTCGGATATTTTACCCGAGCCGAAGCCGAGTCTAGAATTTCAGCTCGCGAGCTGACTCGACTTGATTCGTTAACATCCTAACTGCATTATATTATGAATATCGAGGATATTGAAATAAATTTGTCATCAATCGAAATAATGATTGGTCAAATGAAATGACACGATCATACTAAATTAAATTTATTAGAGAAACTTAAAATTTCTGAATTTACAGTCCGAACACCAAATGGTGTATACTCATGCGAAATTAAAATGAAAAAAGTAAAGTCGTAATATGAAATATACGACTTTTTACTTAATAAATATTGCGAAAACTTATATAAATAGATAAGTTATCATATGATGGATATAATCACAAGTCTCTATTTCATTAGAGTGACAATGCATGAAATTTGACATGCATATAATAAATGTGATTATAATCCACTTATCTTGCATACAAATTTAATACTATTCTTGAAAGATTTAATACGCTTGAAGCATAATTCAAGTGATATTATTATAAGGAGGAGTAAATATGCATTGTACACTTTTTCCTTTGACCAATGTTTTGTAACATTTGATTTCTTTGGCAAGATTTTCAATGAGGCAACTTTTGTAGCGTATTCAAAAGGAATAACGTACTCTTTCTCCTTCATTAGAAAATTTCCCACAAGGTTTTCTCTAATAAGGTTTTAATGTGACATATTCTTTGTATAATGATGTCCTTAACTTACGAGGTATTTACTCTCAAGAAGTATACTCGTATATGAGACTCTCGAAGATATCAACAAGAGCTATTTTTGAATCATCATGTTACACAGTTATTAAAGAATGATAAATATCTCTTATGAAGACTATGGAAGACAACATGAGACATACTTCATAAAAAATTGTAATATTGAAATCATTGGTGTACGAAGCATAAATAGTTTGATACAAGAATTGAAATCAGAGGGAGTAGCCGTATTCTTTTTCCATCGATTAAGTTTTGTCCCGTTGAATTTTCTTGACAAGGTTTTAACGAAGAAGTATTTTATTGTTCCAAATTATTTGTCTCATTTTTATTTGTCGGCCATTTTGTCCCATTGGGTTTTTGCCAAACAAGGTTTCAACGAGATAGTTATTGTACAAATAATCATTAAAGGGGAAGTGTTATTAAAAAAGAGATAATTATTGATGATTATTTAATATTATCATGATTCATAGATAAAGTTTATCTAGTTTAGAAAATATATTTCATTCCAATTTTAATTCTTATTTTAGACCCTATAAACATAAGGCATTGATTCATAGTAACATACAATTGAATTTTGACTCTCTATTTCATGTATTGTTTTCTATGTTCCCTTTAGTTTTATAACACTTTGAATATATTTGATAATTTTTTTTTGGAGGTGTTAACTTTTTTCAAGAAAACTGACTTAAAAAATAATTTTGTTGGGAAATTTTTCTACGAAAAAGTAGAACTCAACCAAATGAACTCTTTACTTGGCAAACTCATGCTAAATCTTGGACTTCGATGCACCTTTTTAAGGGCACATGGGTTCAACAACGCACTCGTACTACATAGTCCAGGCATATTATATTTCATTTGTGTGGGTCACCGCTAATCAGCACCTAAAAGCACTGCGAAAAAGGGCGAGAAATGGACTCGGAGGGTGGTGCATCGTTGCCGTCGTCCTGTCCCGACGCGCGGAAGCGGCGCGTGTCGTACTTCTACGAGCCGACGATCGGCGATTACTACTACGGCCAGGGCCATCCGATGAAGCCCCACCGTATCCGCATGGCCCACAATTTGATTGTTCACTATTCCCTCTACCGGCGGATGGAGATTAGCCGCCCTTTTCCGGCCGGCCCAGAAGACATCCGCCGCTTTCACTCCCCCGAGTACGTTGATTTCCTCTCCTCCGTCACCCCTGATACTCTCCACGACCACACCCACGCCCGTCACCTCAAGCGGTTCAATGTCGGCGAGGACTGTCCTGTTTTTGATGGGCTTTTCCCCTTTTGCCAGGCCTCCGCTGGTGGCTCAATCGGCGCCGCCGTCAAGTTGAATCGTCAGGACGCTGATATCGCTATCAATTGGGCTGGTGGGCTTCACCATGCAAAGAAGAGCGAGGCTTCTGGGTTTTGCTATGTCAATGATATAGTGCTGGGGATTCTCGAGCTTCTCAAGGTTCACAGGGTAATGTATAGACTATGGGCCATTCAATTGCCCCATACCTTTTCTATTTTTGCGTTGTTCATCTCATTTTAGATGACTTTTTTCTTTGAATTTTAATGTTGTTGTTATTGGCGTTAAAGTGTTTTTACTTATCTGCTAAAGTTTATAGAACGGTAGAATTTCTAGATTTATTTATTTATATATTTTTGGAGCTCAGTCTTGAAAGTTAGGGGAAGACTTTTTTCTTGTAAATATTTCTTGTAAATAAAGTGGACTATCTCTCTATTCTTTATGTGTATGCTTGCTTGTCTATTTCATGAAGCAAGCTTTTCAAAATTCAACAATTTAGGAAGTGGCTCAAGAAATCAACGGAGGCTGCTCAATGCACCATTTAGGATAAGTAATAGAATCATTATTAATGATAAACCTAGAAGAATGGAGAAGATGTGGGATGAACCGTTGTTTGAATTGAGTCAAGTTGGTATTTTATTTTTCTTGTTCTCGATAAGAACTAAACAGGGGAAAGTGTTTTTTAATGATTTGTCCTCTTCCTGGCTAGTTTACAGAATCTTCATTTTAGTTAATGAAGCTAGTATTATGACGAGGCATTGGTGTCTTTCTGAGTTTTCAATTTTAGATACCTTAAGAGTCAATACTATTGATTGCTTTGNAGCTAGTATTATGACGAGGCATTGGTGTCTTTCTGAGTTTTCAATTTTAGATACCTTAAGAGTCAATACTATTGATTGCTTTGTGATTAACTTGTCAGTGAACGTGCTTTGAGTTATTTGATTTCCACTGATTGCTTGCAACTAAAATGATTATAATTTAGAATTCTGCTCTGTTTTCGATATGTTTATTTGCTGTTTGTGCTGATTGCTTTCTTACTGACAGCGCGTGCTTTACATAGACATTGATGTTCACCATGGAGATGGTGTTGAGGAGGCTTTTTATGTCACTGACAGAGTAATGACAGTGTCTTTCCATAAATTTGGGGACTTTTTCCCTGGAACTGGGCATATCAAAGATGTTGGAGCTAATGCGGGGAAGAACTATGCTCTTAATGTTCCACTGAATGATGGAATAGATGATGAGAGCTTCCGTAGTTTATTTCGTCCCATTATCCAAAAGGTCATGGAGGTCTATCAGCCAGATGCCGTTGTTCTTCAATGTGGGGCAGATTCATTGGCTGGTGACAGGTTAGGGTGCTTCAATTTGTCTGTGAAGGGGCATGCGGATTGTCTTCGTTTCCTGAGATCTTTCAATGTTCCTCTAATGGTTTTGGGTGGTGGAGGGTATACAATGCGGAATGTTGCCCGCTGTTGGTGCTACGAGGTCTCTCTCTCCCGCTCCCCCTCTCCCCGTCCACCCATGGGTTTACCCCTTGTTACTTGTCACTTTTGTGCTGTTTCTTTTCTTTTTTCCCCATTTCAAATTAACCATTTATATCTGTGTTGGGAGTATCCTCAGGTATAATTTGTTACTTCATTGCAGACAGCAGTTGCAGTTGATGTGGAACCCGATAATAACTTACCTTACAATGAGTATTATGAGTACTTTGGCCCGGATTATACTCTTCATTTGGAACCAAAACCGATGGACAATCTGAACTTACCTAGAGATCTGGAGAAGATCAGGTTCATTGCACTAAATTTAATTCTCACATATATTTGGATGAAGATTCTGATTTTGTGACGTATTTTGGAAGAGTTAAAGTACACTGGTGTCTCCTGTTGCTAATACTTCTGATATTTTGCTCTCCCTTCACATTTTCTCTACTGGTCTGTAGAATCTAATCTACATAGCGATCCACTCGCACATATTCTTACCCTATTCTGTTACCTTTTCACCTTGGAGACACGGTTTTTCCTGCAGTCCTGCCACACCACCATTCTCCATTCTTACCATCAACCCGACCCCCTCCTTCGACGACCCCTGATTATCTCTCTCACTATCCATGCTCTATCTATTCTATCACTGTATGGTCTACCTCTATAATCCCCATCTTTTCATTTGTGCTGCCATTGTTACTCGTACTAAACACAGCCATGTACATAATTCAATATGAATTCAAGTTTCTGATAAGTCATAATGGATAAAATTAGTAGCTTTGGTTAGTTGAAAGACAATTATTAGTATGTACAAAAAGTAAGCCCAATATTTTGTGTTTTTTTGGATGAAAAAATGTTAGAATTTAGTTTTGTGGACTGAGAGCTGTAGTGGTGCACCCTGTATTTGACAATTTGTTTACGAGGTTGTTGTCATTATGGCATTTACACTCATTATGTACCCAGTACCTGGTTTATAATAAAGCATTTAAGTGGTTCAAATATTATCAGATGATGGTAGTTTATTTATTTATTTATTTTATTATTATTATTTTTATTTTTAATCTCAAGCGGAAACATGATTTATTGTCTGCTTCAACCAGTTCTTGAAAAATTAGTGTTTTATGTCTGCTATTGCTTGCATCTTTCTGTTAATCCACTACTCTGCCTCATCTTTCATGGTTTTCTATCTTTCAATAATTATTCTTCCCTAAATTTAGCTGTCAACTGAAAGGACATTAATAGGAGCTAGACATTTACATTTCTTTGCTTTTTCCAAGTTTGTGTATAAATTTACAAGCTATGAAAAATTTGAAATGCCATTCACATATGCTGCCTTGCTGCCATTTATTTAATATTGCTGTTCATTTAATGAGAGTTGGTTGGAGAATTTCTTCTCTCTATTTTTGGCATAATCACGTATCAAATGTGAAATAATTTTGATGATTATTGGAATTGCAGAAATTTCCTGCTCGATCAACTATCTAAACTACAACATGTACCTAGTGTTCCTTTTCAAACAACGCCTCCAACTACCGAAGTACCAGAAGAGGTGAGTATAGCAGTGCGAAGGGCCCTAAATTGGGTAATATAATCTAAATTATTTTCCTTGCATATATTTTTTATAACACTGGAAGATATCCATTTTTCAGACGGAACAAGATATGGAAGAGAGAGTGAAACCTCGGATTTGGAATGGTGAGGTTTACGAGTCCGATGTTGAAGAAGATCCGCCTCTGCTGTGAAGTTTAGATAGACAGTTATACATTTCAAACAACTGAACTGAGGTGTGGTTTGAGGTTGGCATGTTCAGCACCTAGAGTTTGTTCACTGTTTTCCACAGTACTTCTGCTTGGATTGGGGGCATATGCTTCTGAAACATAACAATGTAACACAGAATTTATGTTTCTGCCCTTGGTTATGCTCATTGCATTCACTTTTAAAGATTACTAGTGATAATGACCTGTAGCAATTTCATGCTTCTTTCTGTGAAGATGTCTTGACGCTTCATGCTAATTATAATTATCGTATTAGATTAATTGTTTGTTATACACAAGTACGGAAAATGTTTAGTAAAGTTCATCATCTCATGCCAATGATACCCCTTGTAATGCTTTCCCTGTTTCTTGAAAAGTATTAAAAAAATAAAAACTCTCCTTTCATATCAGTGGGAGAGTGCGAAAAAAAGTGACTTCTATGTACGTGTATATCAGTATGACGAAGACGAATACATTGCATTATCACTTGTGCCAGTATAAGGAATGTTGATTTCTGATTAACTGGCTATATCCTATGCATATTCAGTTATACTTGTCTTCCGGAAAAAATTGTAAAATAAAGTGAGAGAAAAGAAGAATATGAGACCTGAAATAGTAATACCAGCAGAACCTAGGTGAAATCTAAAAAAAAAAAAAATATGTTGAACCTCAACTTTGAGGGGTCTCACCGTCCCATCCCTAGAGTTTTGTGAGGGAAGTAAATCGCGGGATTTGTCCCAGTAGACCAGGGAACAAGAGCTGCATGTATAATGCGCATACAAGGAGTTCAATTTTACGTCTCAGGAATCGAACCCCTATACTGCGGCTGCCAGCAAAACGTGAGATAATCTCACTCTGATCCTTTGTACCACTGGATTATGCCCCGGTGGTGAACTTAGGTGAAATCTAATAAATACAGAAGTAAGCACGACAGGCCCTTGTGACAGGGCGTTGGTGGGGGACATGACATACGTCTCAAAAATGTCATGTGGAGTGTGTTTCTTTTTAGTTTATTATTATATTTTCATATTTTGCATGTTCGTGAACATGTTTAATTTAGAGCTTGTTTTGAAGAGATTTTTTGAAAGGAAATTTTATTTTCTAAAAGAATGCGTGATTGGAAAGTAAAGAAAATTTACGAGTCTTATTGAATGTTTGGTTAGAAATAATTTTGAGGAAAAAAAGAATTTCAATAATTCTCTCCCAAATTCTACTTTAGATTGTTACTTTGAAAATTCTCATTAGGCTTTAGCCACCAGAACATTAGATATATATATATTTTTATTTCTTGTCAAAAATTTAAAAAATTTAGGGTTCGTTTGATAGTCACGTATTCCATGAAAAAGTCACATTCGATAAATTCGTTTTCTACCTTGGCTGTTTGATACGAAAGTGAAAATGAAGTTCGAATTTCAAAGTACAAACATTTAAAGCATGTTTTTGGTCAATTTCATGGAAATCGAATTCTTATAATTTTTGTGATTTTATTCATTTCCAACTTACATGAAATTGATTTGCCTTTTTCAAATTTGCTATCAAACGGACCCTCAGATATTGTTTACATGATTTTGGAATGTACAATTGCTATTTTGATTAAAGAAGCATTGGTCCGTGCCTATTAGCTATTACATTTAAGAAGTACATAATCCAATTAGCCTATTTTATGATTATTATTTGAAAATTCATTTTTTTTATATACTCATTTTTAATCATACATTCGCACTAGAGTTGTCAACGAGGCGAGTCGAAACTCGAGGTTCAAGCTTGGTTTAAGCTTTTTTAAGTCGAGCTTTTTTTGGCCTGAGTCGAGTTGAGTAAAAGTTCAACCAAAAAATTAAGGCTCGATCCGAGCTTTCGGCTCGATTTTTTTCATGTAGATGCCTTTAAAAGGCAGTAACTACTGCTTTCTTCTTTTTCCTCTTTTTTTTTCCTGAGTTGTCCTCAGGCTTTTTTCGGGCCAAGCAATGGGCGGTCCGAACAGGCGAGCCAATTTGCCATACCTACATTCACACAATAAAAAAAATATCCTGCACGTAAAGTCAATATTTTTCATTCTTACTAACCATATATTATCCTAAAAATCAACATTTAAAACATTGTTTTTTTTTCAAATAATGGCCATCTTGTTCTTCAATAAACATAATAAAACACGACTTCCTAGATAAATGTTGACAAGACCACCAAAGGCACGAAGCTGTAATGGTAGGATTATCTCCTTGGAGAAATTGACTTAATTTTACCCTTTTCCAGTTGAACTTTAAAACATATACATAGCCTTACATAATATGTTACATAATATTACGTGACATTCTTTCATTAGACATTTTAAGCCACAATCGACTTTTTCATCAAATCATTTCACTACACATCATTTTCTAGCATCAAATGTCTTTTTTGGACAAATAGCATAATCATTTTTAGTTAGAAATATCTATTGCAGTTTAATTTAGTTAATCACGTATATAATTTTCTTTGACGCCACAATCTTTTTGGCGTGAACATCAACTATTTTAATTTTAAAAAATAAAAAATAAACTATATTATGAACATAGGATGTATTTACAATAAGCGAACCATATTTTATAAATCCTACGTTTTGACAATGGAGTGGATACATGTCTAATTTGTTTTGGGATTTTTGCAAACTCTTAACATAATCTCACAAAGATGCCAAGAGTTACTGAACCTTCTTGCAAGTTTCGAGATTTTTGCTTTTGTTTACTAACCTTTTCGCAGATTCAGTAACTTCTAATCTTCTTCTTGTGCACCAAAGATGATTTCGCTCCACATCAAATTAGTACTTCAGCACCTCCCAATCCTTTTCTAGCTCATTTCCCAACTGTTAATGTAACGACCCAACTCTATGTACAAGTTCTTATCTTACGTACTTTCCATTCTAGAAAAAGTTTGAACGATCTTATCCCTCACGAATTTTTATCGTGTCCTCAAAATTCCAATCCATGACCTTTCTTTTAAAAGAGTCTTAAGTTGGACTTTTCAAGTCTCTCTTAAGGGGAAATGTCATCGGTTCGAATTCTAGGGACGCAATAGAAATTCGTGAAGGGTAAGATGGTTCAGACTTTCTTAAAACGAACAGTACATAAGATAACAACTTGGGCATGAATGGCTCTCCCAGAATTTTTTAACAATCTAGGCCTCATGCCCGATCGTTCTCTTACGTACTGTCAACAATGGGAGAGAATAGCCTATCTTATCCCTCACAAATTTCTATGACGTCCCTAAAATTTGAGTAGATGACATTATCTTTTAAAGACTTAAATTGAATCTTGACATCAACCGGACAAGTGGGGAGATTATGTGTTCGAATCTTGTGGATGCAACAAAAATTTGTGAGGATAAGATGGACTATGCTCCCCATAATAGACGGTACGTAAATTAACGATTTAGGCATAGAGTCAGAGTTGTTATAGCTTATCTTGTTCTAGTAAATATACTTGCCGCTCTCAGACGAGATAATAACCCAAATGGTCATTGAACCTTGTAAAAGGTTTCTACGGGGACACTAAACTTTAAAAATAACCTAAATCATCATTAAACTTTGCAAAAAAATTTCACGGGGTCACTGAACTATAAAAATCATCCCATTCATCACTAAACTTTGCAAAATATTTTTCAGATGTCACTAATTCAGTGATCTCATAGAAAACCTTTTCCAAAGTTTTGTGATCCTATGAAAACTTTTCGCAAAGTTTGCGATTGGTGATCATTATTTAATCATTTCCCGAATCTTCCGTCGAAACTCGAACACATTTGTCTAGTGTCATTGAGCTTCTCCCATGTTCGCATTTTCAAAGTATCGACGACTAGCAACCCATCCTCACGCGTGCGCGAGTGGACCCGACATCAACAAAGCTTGTAAATCAGCGTGTATATATAAAAGGAATTCTCTAACAAGAGAAAATACATTTTTTGTCACAACTCTACGATGTCATTAGAGATGAGAATCCCCATGGAGCGTTGGTCTGTCTATCTAAGCTGAATGGGGCGAGAAATGATGCCTCGGTAGTCTTATAGATTCCATCGAAAAAGTATGAATAGTGGCAAGAGGCTAGACAGCGTAGAATCTTGAATGTAACTCTAGTCAAGTTCTATGTTGTCCTTCTATTCTGCATTTGGTATTTACGGGAAAGTAATTGTTGAAATTTTAATTTTATATGGTTCGAGCTATTTGGGACTTCTAATGAAGTTCTCATTCTTAAATGTATCTTATAAAGTTGTTTTTCATGTGGAAGATAGATAGCACAAACGTGAATAAAATGTACCCGTGTACATGTCATGACCGGCGATCGTTTGTTAAGGCTATTTCTCACACGACATGTTCTTTATTTTTACTTTCTCATAGCCTTATGTTAAAGGAAAATGTAAGAAAGAATCTGCTCATTTGCCAAAACTGAAAGTCTTGCTTGGAGATAAATTAATAACTCATATCACCGTTAAAAGTGATGAATTTTTTTTTTTTTTTTTTATAACTAAATCTCTTCGAATCTTGCTCTTGTTGCGATGCTTACAAGTTTGAAGTTTTCTACTTTCACTTAGTCAACCTAGGGTCAAAAGTAATTGATCATATTATTCATAGTAGTTGATTGACTGAATTGTCTTCTCACGCTACTTTGCTTTTTCAGATGAAAACAAGTTGCAAACACTTGATTGATTATAAGGATTTTTCTTGATATCTGTTGAGTTTTTTAACCCCATAATTAAACAACAATGAATAATAAGCCACAACACAAAGTAGAAAATGAAGGAACACCAAAAAATGTTACCCATTTCATCAAATGCCTAATCCAGAGGCTCAAAGATTAGCCAAAACACTTAGCACAACAAAAACCTTCCCAAAGAGAGAGTACATATCATGAAAACTCAATTAGACACATACTTAATCATCGATCAATAGGCAGATCTCTTAAATCATAAACCCTAACAAAAAATATAACCAAGAGCTTCTTGCGTTTCTATATACTCAAAACCAGTCATTATATCAGGTCTGATTTACTATAGCAACATGAATTACACAAGATTCCACAACTATCTTGGCTAGTCTCATAAGAAATCACAGATCGAAACCAAAAAGAAGACTGAAAACTAGAAAGATGAAGAGAACTCAAAACGAAAAGTCTGGAGTGAAAAAAATGAATCAAATCGTTCGCCAACCACAGATAGTCCTAGTGGAATTACTTACTCAACCGTAGATTAGACACAACGATCCATCATCCACACGAAGAAGCACGATCCGAGTTAATGATTGAGAGCCAATCTGGGTTTACCATATGGTCATCCATCCAAGTTGGCTTTTAAAAGAATTGTTAATTTTCGAGAAACACGTTTTTTTCTTTACAATATCACTACCTAAAAAAACCTTGAGCTTTTTAAACACCCAAATGTGCTAGATACTGAACATACTATTTTCCCTAAATTCAATCCCTTACAAATTAAAATAAAATTAAGTAAAATAAACCTCATGGCTAATATAAATAGACAAGTTTTGTCGAGCCCGTAATTTATAAGCTTAGAGAATCTTCAGTGGTGGTGTAAAATTGAGTTTTATATGTTCAAATGGTCGAAAACCTTTCCAATAGAGAGATGCAAAAAGATGCAAATTCTATTTTTCGACATAAAATAAAAAAAATGTACATTTATATCTATTGTTTACATCTACAAGAGACAGAAAATAGATTGAGATATTTTTATTGGAGTAAAATTTTAATTTAAATTCATCCAAGTTTAAATGAGAATGCAAAAATAATTTTGAATATATTAATTCACATTGAAGCCCCGTTTGTTTCTCATTTTTTCTTCATTAAAATGAAAAATATGACCGTTATTCATCACATCAAACCACCAAATTTGCATTTCTATCTTTTGTGTGGGGCTCATAACGATTATATTTTTCATTCTCATTTTTACATTAATGCGTACCAAATGGGGCCTCTATTGACGCTCATATTTGCTGAACATGCTCTAAGTTTTTACTCAGTGCTTCTATTTGTACGCACACCATTCCCGATACATCATCCAAAACCCAAAATGGGACGTGTTGGGTTGGCCCTTTTTTTTGTCCAATAAATTTTAATTATGTGACCGTATAATATGTCATAAGTCCATTTATTTAATTCTATATTTAATTAAAATTAAGAATTCATCCCCCCTAAATCGACTCTAGAGCACCGCATGGGTTATATAGCATTACTAATGTTTCATTCTTTTATTTTTTGTAAATTTTCCTTTCCTCTCTCAATTTTTTCACAATTCCATAATTTATTTGGGGGGTTATTTGTTTTCTTCTCCGATGGCCGCTCCTTACAGATCAAGGTAAATTTCACGATTTTGATATTCAATATCTATATTCTACAAACCTAATGGATAATTTTGCCTTGTTTTTTTTTTTTTTGAGAATTTTTTAAATTGATTATTGATTATTTGTAATTGAAGCAGGGAAGGATTAAGCACAAGGTCTGTGGGAGGGGGCGGTAATCCTGATGAAATCCAGCTTCGAATAGATCCGATGCATGCCGATTTCGATGAGGAGGTCACTGGTCTTCGTAAACAAGTTCGACTACTCAAAAATGTGAGTTTTTTCCCCCTTTAGATTGTTTTTTCCCCCTTTAGATTATAATATGCGGAAATTTTGTAACTTATTATAGGGTTTGTTTGACTGTGATAACTTGCGAAAGAACATATCAATCCTACTAATGAATCTGTATTTCTTTCTCGGTTGTGCTCTATGTAATGCATATGGTGTGGTGAGATATGATTGATTTAGTATTTCTTCGACCGAATGAAAAAAAATATTTTCCGCTCTCTTTTTTGACACCTCTTCTATATATAAACCATTATGCAGTTCCAAATATGTTCAAGTAGCAGTATTCTTTCTTTATTTTTAGGTGTCTGTAAATATAATTCCCTGCAGGCAACAATATAACTTTTTTGGATTACGTATGCTTATGTTTTAGTAGAATCAGATGAAATAATTGTAAATTGTGCTGGAAATTGGATTTTGAATTAATTTTTAAGAAAAAGGAACCAAGGAGGAGAATATGATGAGGATGAGGAAGAGGAGGAGGAGGAGGAGGAGGAGGAGCAAAATTGGAATTTTGTTATTGCATGTTAGTGCCTCTATAGGCACATTTTTTCTAATTCTCCAAGTCAAAGATAAAAGATAGGAGGGTTTATGATAGTAATATATAAAACAACAAATGAAGAATCACAATATTATGCAAATTCCACAGTTGTTATAACCTATTTAAGGAAAATAAATTGAAGAAGCACGCTTCTTTTCATTCTTCTTCCTTTTTTTTCCCAACTTTGGGTTTGAAGCCCTGAAACACAATAAAGCGTCATTTGTTTGAAGCTTTACGCCTCAAACAGAAAAAGGCCCCAGAAGCGTGCACCACACTGCTTTGCACCTAGGTGCACTTTTGACAACTATGCCTAAATTTTTTCTCTTTTCATCTTAATAAACTTCTTGCACTTAGGAACACTTTGGTTGTTGGCACATATTAATGAATCCTATTTCATGCTCTAATTTGTGTACAATTGTAGGTGTGCGTATCTAATATTCTCGTTTACGCAAATAATATGGCAGGTTGCTCAAGACATTGAGTCAGAAGCCAAGTTCCAGAATGATTTCCTCAATCAGCTGGTATGTCTACTTGTCATGAGTTTGAATTATACCTTCTCAATCGCTTGTCAGTGTGCTCTGCAATCTTGTTTGCTATTGAACTTTTCGTGCCTTTTAAACTTGCGGCCAATGATGTAAAATGAAATTCAAATATGATTTTTCTCTCCTAAGACACTTTGGTCAAATTCCTCATCACTGTGAAAGCTTAGTGGAACTTGCTACTGTTACAGGATTATTGCAGTTTTTCAAGATCAAGCAAAATTGTATAGAATGAATGCATACTTTTAATGGACAAGTGGAAGGATGAGAGTTTGGTGAATGACCTCTTTATTTCTTCCCCCCTTTTTTCTCAAAGAAAAAGTAAGATTAAATAAAAAGTTTCATGATGAAATTATTATTGGGACGACAGTAGGGAAGTAATGAAAATGGGAATATGAAAGCTCAATTGAATCAATTAATATGATAAATTATGAAAGACTAGTTGAAGTTTGTCAAGTCATGCTTTAGAAAGGAGAAAGGAAACTGATGCCAATTCTTACTATTACACTGAAGCTGGTTCTGGATATGATTTTTAAAAATCACTGTATTTCCACTTGGTTCAAGATTAGTAGAGAGAAGGGGATAGAAGTAAAATATAATATTCATATATTTGTATAAGGATGACATGGAAGGGAATGGTATGGATAAGTTTATTTATTATTTTTAATTTTTTGGTTTGTGATGTAAAACATTAGTTATCCTCCATTATGTTCATATCAAATTATTCTATCCCCTACCTTTCCCTTGTCCATACGATTAAATCACATGGAGTTGGGTTGGGTTTCAACATGATTTTGTTGTTTTCTTCTCAATTTAATTTTTGTTGATAGGGTCTGTTCTCCTTTTTCATCTTTCTTCGAAGTAGAAAGGGTCTAATATTGAAAATGTTTACTTATCAAAGATATTAACACCCTCGACAAGCTTGTTTATTACAAAAGTGTCGTCACTTCCATCTTATGTCGTAATGCTTATCTTTTTTCCTGAAGGCACCTTCCGAGTTTTGTTTGATTTACCCCTAACCTTGTTTCCTTTGTTAGTGCTTTTTCTCTCCTTACCTGTTGTACAGAAGGCTTTTGAGGTTTGACATCAAGTGCCAAGATAAAAAGATATTTCAGTTGTTAGCTCGAGCTAGATTACCTTTTCCTTTGGAAATCAAACAAATCAAAGTGGTGCCCCAGTTTTACGGAGTAGAAGCAATATGGGTCATAATCATAATTTTACTAAGAAGTTGAAAATTATCCCATGTGATGAATTATCTAGAATTCCCGGAGTTTAGGGATTCGTAATTGTACTTTTTCCAAAACGAGTATCCTCCTTGAATACTTCTGTTATTGGGATTATTCGATCACGTAATTTTTCTGGTTGACTAAGGTGCCATTTCTGTCATATATATTAATCCCTGCATTTTACAAAATTAGATGCAACATATATTGGGTTGTCTTGTTAAGGACATAAAGAGCTCCTCTAATTCTGGCCTGTGCAGCAAATGACATTGATCAAAGCTCAGGCAGGGGTGAAAAACAACATGAGGCGGCTGAACAAAAGTATCATCCGGGAAGGATCAAACCACGTCATGCATGTGGTTCTCTTTGCACTATTATGTTTCTTTGTGGTCTACCTGTGGTCCAAGCTTTCAAGACGGTGATGATCATGACCGGGTTGTAGAGTTGAGGTTGAGTGAAATTGTTACTCACCTATATACAGTTCTTGTAAATCCCCATACAGGAGACTAGCTTCAATGGTTCCTTTTTTTTTTTTTTTTTTGGTTTTAAATGTTTATGGAAAATGTAACCTTTGCCTTGCATAGATTGCAGCTTTTCATAGTGATGTGCAAGTGTGTGGGAATTTTAATGAAGGGTGTTGATGTTTTTATTGGGTATTGGACAATGTTAGATTTTAATAAACGTGATTGTATTCCTTTCTAATTAGGAATTGAAATTCAAATTGCAAAACTATGTCTAAACTATACCTATGTGACATTTCGGCAAAGTTTGTTATGGTGGAGAGAGAGTGTGTCCCCGAACACACTTCAAGCAGTGGAAAGAACAAAAGATGTGCCCCCCTCTTTGAAAGTTTGAAGAAGGGGCGCTTTTGGTTCCGTCGTTGCTTGAAATATTTGTGTGGCGTTCGTATGAAATATGCCTGTATCGGCTTCACATAAATCTATGTAGTGTAAATATCCATTTGTAAAGGGTACAAACTATAATCTTAATCTATAGAGACATGTTTAGGAAGTGTTCATAAATTGTTTAAATTATAACTAAATAGAAATGAATGGTAGATACGTAAGTAATATTTGTCGCTTCCTCAAAAGCATGGATAAAATGTGATTTGAGTGTTTAAATAATCTATAAATATAAGCAAAATATGAACATTGTCTTGTGATAAATAAAAATTGTAGGGTGACGATTCACTTGTTCTAGTTTTCAATAATTACTATAGATGTTTGTTATGTAGTCATTTTTGGATTTTTTAATAAGTCGACCATGTTCTATGGGACATATTACTGAAAATGAAAGAGATATAATAGAAGAAATAAAAAAAAAAAAATTACTTTGTTGTTTTGACATTTAACTTCTAATTATCACGTCTATCATAAGTTATGATTTTGTAGACTTAATATTCCAAACCACGAGGTATAATCTTGACTATATTATTTTGTTGAAATAGAATGGCTACAAATGATATTTTAACGGAAAATTCCGTTTGTACATAATTATTGTACATAATGGTGTCCATAATGTGATGTGGTAATCATTCGGTTGTTGATGTGCAAGTGTGAGATTTGAATTAATAACTGGATCCAGTGCCACGTATAATTATGTACATATTATGTAAATAATTATGTACATGTAGCACTTCTCTATGTTAACTATCTTCTCTCGATGAGATGAAACCCACACCAATTCCCTATTATCCCTTTCATCAAATAATTTATAAATATAAGTGAAATATAAGCAGTCTTCAGATAAGTAAAAGTTGTAGGTGCTCCAAGTTTTCAATAATTATTATACATATGTTTGTTATCCAATCTTTTTTTTTTTTTAGGTAAATCGATAGTGCTCAATGTCACATATTACTAAAAATGAAAGAGAAATAGTAAAAGAAAGAGAGGAAAAAAAGAAGAAAAAAAACATACTTACTTTGTTTTAGTCGCATTCAGCTTCTAATTATCACGTCTGTTATAAGGTATGATTTTGTAGAATTATTATTTTAAGCTGCTAAACCCTATCAAGTGATTTTATTATTCTTATTGCAATGGGCACATTAAGATGACTTTTAATTATTTATTATTTTGAAGAAATACAATGGCTACAAATGCAACTATTTTATCATCATTAATTTTTTAATAACTTAAGAAATATGATGGTATATATTTGTCCTCCCCGTTCAACATTTCATCCGATTAAATCCACACAAGTTCTCTATTATCTCTTTCGTCAATTTTTTTAACAGCAAACTTGTTTTTCTATAACAATCAACAGACGATATATATAAATACTTTTTTTTGAAGAATGTTGAAGAATAAGCCTTTATCTTTCTAAAAATCTTTTTGAATTTTTTATTATTATTGTATTACTAATGTCAAAAATTTCAGTAGTATTTTTGAGGCATCTTATAATATCCTTATTACTTGTTTGGTAAAAAGTAGTAAGAATATCAAGATTATCTTTTTGAAATTTGTATATATATAATTGAAAAACTCGATTTTTGCTTGTGTCCAAAAAAATTTCACTTAATGGTTCGATGACCTACATCATTTTTACAATTATACAAATAAAAAATAAATACATTAATGATGGTCTCCGACTCGTTGACTCTTTGCATGATGACGATTAGACAAATGTGTTATATAGTGGTGTAAGTGAAATGAAATGCAAACTTGAGATACCAATTTGCATTAAACCGAAGTTGGGTGAACAATATGAAATGCTGGTATATACACATAAACATGCAAATAGAATTATGTCCTCATTTTAATGCCCAATATAAGAGATTGATTTTAGGAAATTATTTGGGTTCAATTCTAGAACAATCAAGAAAACCCAATTGGGAACACATACCAAATTATGGCGGGAACTGAACGATCACAGGAAACCAATTGCACCTTCGAGTGGGATGAAGATTCTCAGCTCTACTACCATGCTAGGTTTTGAAATTCTTTATCATTTTTCCTCTCTTCTTCGCTTCTAGTTTTCTATTTTTATTATTTTTTCTCTTTGAAACTTACCAAATATTCTGGCACTTGTGTTGAATATTTGCAATTGAACCCAAAATAAATGTATTTGATGTTAATGATTTGTACCCACATACCGTTTTGACATTTTGATTTTGTTTTTATGGGTATTATTTTGATGCAGCACTGGATTTTACCACGACCCACAAGCAGGGTGGTATTTCAGCAGCGTAGATGGACTTTATTACAAATTCGAAAATGGGAATTATGTGCTCCTTGAGTCCAATCTGGTATGTTATTCGAATTTACTTTTTCCAATTTCGATGCAAATAGGAGTGGGTTCTCTAGGTTTCTAGAGTTGCAAAGATAACGATGTTATTACTTTGTTCAACTCAAGGATGGGGATCAATCTGAATTACATAATTCTAATTGTGAAGGCGAAGTATTGGGAGCTGAAAAGGATCAATTTGAATTACATAATGCTAATTGTGAAGGCGAAGTATTGGGATCTGAAAAGGAAGGAGCTGCACTTTCTGCTGAATCTTCCCTAGGTGAACTATTATGAATGTATAGAGTAAATTTTAAATTCATATTTGAGATTTGAGTAAATTTTAATCCTTAAAATGTTATACGCAAGTGTGCATATATTGCAAGGCTTGGGCCAGCTGTCACTTTTTATTTATGTATATTTTGTTTGATGAGTTTTAAAAGCTGATCGCCTTGAGTGTTTAGTTTTTGTTGTTTATATGGCAGCGTTCCAAACTAATTGTCATTCGCTACATCATACTTTAAGCTTTGAATGTTCTGTATATTATATTGAAGTACAACGGAAGAGCTTTTTAATGTTGTTACATATATTTGTTTCTCCTCTACCCACATTATTCCATTTATGTTATTTTGTTTAGATCCCTCAATTTGCATCAGCAACGAACAATCTGAGTATCCACCTCCGGCATCAGAATGGTAAGTTGAGCTTTACCTATCTTGTTGCATATACTAGATACCTAAGCAGCTTGAAATGTTATAATCAGGCTGGAAGATACTCTCATTGATATGTACTTATCGGGTTATTCCAACCAATCAACTCATGCTGCTGCTTCTGACATGGCAATGTCTGTGGAAACTAGTGATACACAGCAGCTAAATCTTCCAGCAGATGGTATGTGAAATATATCTGACCTTAAATGGAGTAATCTTGCCAAAGGGCATCTTATCAGGTCTTCTTTGTCGAGTGCAGGAGACGATGACATTCAAGAACTGGAAGAAGGCGAATGGATCCCGTATGAGCCTAATTGTTTAACTGACTTTAGCAGCAATATAGCAGATGAAGGTATATATTGCACGAAAGAAAAATTAGTATTACTCAAAATTACTGGTTTTGACTTCTCATATTCTCAATTTTCTGTGACTGCATTACAGATACGTAAGTGCACTAATGACATTCACTGACACATCATTCACATGCTGCTATACTTGGGAATTTGTCCTCTTATCTACTTTTCATGGCTTCTCAATTAGACCTATATAAGGATACCGTCTGAAGCTAACAGAAAGAGTAGGGGAGAGAGGAAAAGATAGGTTGGGTAGTCAATGAAGGCGGAAAACTAAATTACTGATTACTACAAATTGTAGTTTGAATTGACGATTTGAACTATGGTCTTCTGCACAGGTATATCTCTAGAAGAAGAGAATTGGAGAGCTCAGTACGGTCAAGTTAGTCAACCAAATGAAGAGTGGATATCAGATCTGCACATGGTGGATTTATGGGACTGGGCATTAGTTAAAGGGATCAAAAAAGATGGAAAAGGTGAGGTGGCTAGGCTGGTTGGCCAACTAAAAAAGCGCTCTAGCAAGCTCCATCCATCTATATCTTCAGCTCGTGTGAAAACTGCTCCAGTGTGTGAAGTGTATCTTGATATGGTACGGGTGACTTCAGGTTTGCCATCTTCCCAATATATATATATGTATATATATATATATATTTTTTTTTTTTTTACCTTATACATTATAGTGAATTGCTTAAGACAGAGAATGCTAAGATAATGAAAATATTAAACCAACTTTAGTTAAAGATAACTTTTTGAACATAGTATGTTTTTCTTTGTCTCTCAATTATGGAAACCTCTTTACTGAAGCATAAATACATCGGTTAACTTAGAAATGTAACAAACTTGAGGATGATGGGTTATGATTAAAATCATCGTCTGTTAGGAGGAAATGTGTTGAGTTCTTTACAAACAATAATATTGGAGATGTCTGTGGGTCTGTGACTACTTAGAGAGCGCATGTATGTATGATTTGCCGTTCTTATCCTGTTTGAGTGTGCCATATATAAATACACAACAAACAAACCCGTTTCAGGTGCCGTTAGTTAACCCTTTTGGGTATCATTGGACTCAGCTAGTGTGTATAGAAAACCATTCAGATTAGGCCATCTGAGGCCAATTAATTGTGCAACTGATATATTATACTCTTGGGGTACAAGTATTTGAAGTTACTGTGTCCCATCCATGGAGCGTAATTTCCTGAACATCCTGTTCTAAATCAAACCTTCATGTTTATGGAATCTCTGCAATGAAAAAGGCATTCCAGTTGATTTTTCTTTCTCCATGTCAAAAGATGTGCCAGACTTAGATGGGAAAAAATGAACTCGACAAGTAGGGGGCGGGTGTTGAAGATTTAAATTATATATATTGATTTAGATAGATAAATTCAATCTTTCTTAACTGACTACGCTATGACTTTGCTTTGCACCTTACTCTATCACTGAGCCTTAGCAGGCCTATTTAATCGGCACAGAAAGGAATAGTATTTCTTTAAGCTTCACTCTACTATCAAACTAGTTGCGAAGCATTGGGATAACTAAAGTGGAATGTGCCTCAACTAGTTGCTCAGGATGAGGCCATTGCAGCCTATGATGCTTGGACTCTCCAAAAATGGAGAAGTATCTGTGTCGACACGACATAACACGGGATATGGATCGGATCCTTGGTTTTGAGGTCGGACATGGCAGCAAAAAGGAGAAGACGGCTACTTTTTTGGCTTTGCTTTTAGGGTTTTGCAGGAGTTGAGGAAGGTATATGATGCATAAAGAAGGTAGACGAGAAGATGGCTGCTTTTTGACTTTAGGGTTTTGCAGGAGTCAAAGAAGGTAGAAGGATGCAGAAAGAACATGGATGGATGCAAAAAGAAGATAAGAGTTGGGGAAGACGAGGCGGCTATTGGTTTTGTTGGTTAGTGGGCTTGTAGTTAGCTAATTGAATGTCAAAATTCCAGGGTATTATGGGAATAGGGTATTGGGCTTATGAATAAGTGGGCTTAAAGAAAATTGGGTATTTTGTGTTGATAAGTGAGCAGTTTTTTTTTAATTTATTTTTTGGATAAGTGAGCCTTTTTTTTCCCTTTTTTTTTAAATAGGTAAAACAACTAAAAGATGAACTAACCTTTTATTTTGATTTTATTTTTATTCCAAATTTCTTATTTCTTATATTTATCAGTCTAAAATTTTTATTTTGTAATTAAAAGATTTAGTATTATATTTTTTTTGTATTAAATTTAAATTTACTTCTATAGTATTTTTTAAATAATATATAAGATATTGAAGTTAATTTTTTTCTTTAATTTTTTTGAAGAGAATTTATTTTGACTTAAATTTAAATTTATTTCAAATTATAATTCAATTGTTTAAATTAATTATAATCCAATTATTTAAAAATATATTTAGTAAAATTTATACCCATACCTTTATCCAAAATTCGGATTCTTTTTAACCGTATCCCCATATCTTAATTTTAGAAATGAGAAGGATCCGACTTCTAGATATGTATTCGTATTTGACACTCGAACCTGAGTCCAAGCATCATAGATTGTAGCAACTAGCACGGCCAAGTCACCAACCTATGGCTCCATGGAAGCCGGCAGGGAGGAAGGATTATAATCCAACTAAAGGTGAACTGATGAGAATTTTAGCAACAAATCCAATAGCATAAGCCCATAAAATCCCAAAATAGTGCAAGGGTTCGTGGAGCAGGAGACCTTTATTTCAACAATAGAAGCACAGGAGTGCAAAAACCTGCAAATTCCAGCTTAATGACAAATTACAAAGATATATATTCAGAGATGGCACGTGATCAGGTGCAAGATAATATGTATTGGCCTTCCTGTTCTGCTATAATTTCCTTAGTAATGTAAGGCTCACATCTTTAAGGGATTATTAAGCGGAGATGCTGACCATTTTTGAGTAGCAATGTAATTATGTATTTTTTTATTATACCAAGCTCTACCTTCTCCATTGTTAATCTAAATTAAAGGCTATCTTTCTCACACACAAGCTTTCACACACAAAGATTTGTTCTTCATTTTTGTGAAACAGATCAGTTACTCTAGTTTTTCCCTCCCACAGGTCAGCTATATAGATTGAGGATTCCTAGCTCGCAATACTTGGCATCCTTGTTGGTTTATGATGCATCCGACCCTACGAAAGATTGGGGTTTCCCACAATTGTCAATCGATAAACACATGAATAAGATACCAAAATATCATTCGAAGTCCGAATCTAAAAGCTCGGAAGATCTTGCTGTCCTAGAGGACCAGTCTTTGTCCTCAGAGAAGCTCTGCTCATCTAAAAAGGTAACTCCTGCGTACATAAGCTTTTTGAAGCTTCAAGTGTTCCTTAACTTGTATGTTATCAGTAACCATGGTGCTTGATAGTTGGAAAAAGAAAAAGAATTTGGTGCACGTTTAAGTGCCAATCGTATTATAATCATTTGATTCATCCCATAATTTATGTTAGTGACAGTCATTACTGCTAGAGATTTTCTGGTTTAAACATGGTAGTATTTTAATCTAATCTACACGTTGCAGACTGAGGGTTCAATTGGAGTTTTTATAAGATATATTTGAGCTGATGCAACTTGCAAGGCTACATCACCATGTGATATGTGGCCGCCTTGTCTCTAAGTGTTTTGATTTAAGTTGGCTCTTACATGTTTTCATTCTTGGTTTCATCATGCATAAGGTAGGTTAATATGCTTAAAATGCAAATTATCACAAGAAGCCTTACACTGGCCAATTGATCTTGCTCACGAATATATGCACATTGAATCTTGATAGTCTTCCACTTCCATTCCCTCGAGTATGGCTTCCTTAAATTACAGAAGCAAAAACTCACTCGGGAACCTGAAGCTTGAAATTGAAGTAAATATGCCATGTTACTTGGGGTGTCCCTCAAAAGATTCATGAGAGTTGCCTATGGATTTTAGTGCCATTAACTTCCTTCCTTTAATGAAGTGAGTGAATTGGTAGGGCTTTCTACCTGAGCAGGATTAAATCATGTTTTGCACTGGCAGAACATATATTTCGAAGTAGTGCTGCTTGATTTTCACGCTCGGGCAACAGTGTTTGAATGTAAATTTTTGCACTGCTACTCTTTACCACTTTGTTTTCTGTTCTAATTTCTTTATTTTGCAATTTCAGGATCATGTTTATAGAGACAGAGCTGCTGAGAGAAGAGCTCTGCATGGTGGCTTTGGTATTGGTCCAGAACAAAAAACGTCACTTGATAGTACTGATTCTCCATCATCTCTTATTTCTTTACACCCCGAAGAAGCTGCAGTCGAGTCGTTAAGCATTTCCTTCGGGGCAGGAAGTTATGCCAGAAAAATTCTTGAAAGCATGGGCTGGAAGGAGGTAATCTTTTGAACAGAAATGATGTTCAAGAATTCAGTTTTAGTAGGGAGAACCAAGTACTATTCTGTTTCTGTTCGGTCACAAGTTGCATAAAATAATATTATGTTTTAATACCATTCAAGCATCCATGTCTGCATTTGGCCTTTGTTATCGTGATAGGAAATCATTTATTCATATTGTTTGTGGTGTAATATCCTTTCTAATGCTCTTAATGTTTGGTACAGGGGGAGGCACTTGGCCGTGGCACCAATGGTTTGATCGAACCATTACAAGCAATTGGAAACAAAGGAAATGCTGGTCTGGGTTGGGATGATGGTAGAAAGTAATTTCTAATGAGAGGAGAGATTAATTAAATTGTACCCAGTTCTAGTGAAAATAATACTTATTATAATTATTATGTTGGGTTCGACGTTCTATTTTGGCCTCATCATTGGCTGTGCGTTATGAACAAATTACCACATTTCAGAAAAGGTATCCACTTCCAAAGCTAGCAAGTTAACGATCACATATAGTTCTGCTGCTCGGAGGTGGAGGATTCCTGGTATCCAAGGACAGCTAAAATGAGACCTACTAGTCAAGATACTCGGATGTTGAGGAGCCGTTTAGGATGCAGTGCCATGATCTGGAGTCTCACTTCAACTATGGAAATTGTTATTGTTTCTACCTTCTACATTGAGATTTACGAAATCAAACTCATCTCCAACCATAGTAGTCTTCTTTCGTTTCTTGATCTTAAAAGTAAGACCAATCTTATCTACTTATTATCATCGGTTGGTACAAGTTGATAGATTCTCTTTTCTCTGTCTCCATGTGACGATACAGGGGGTGAAAAAAGGAAAGAGAGTGATGGGGCCTCTCTCGCTTTTAACATAATGGCCTCCAATGGAAGAGGCTTGTGTGGTGGTGGATCGCTCATTTTGCAATAGTAGTTGTAGGGATTAATAGTCACACTGATGGTTCAATGGGACGTGAAAACCAGCCAGCCAACTCCAAGTTAAACATCTGACTTTGCCAGCCACTCTCATAGAGATCCATTCCAATTTGGCAATGAGCTCTTACCAAGCCTCGATCTCCATCATGGTCATATTTAGCTTCTGTTTGATTAACATTCTTTTCAAATTCCTTTTTGTACAGAATTATTTTTAACAACACATTTATACAATAAAATATTTTACACTTTTTCTCTATTTTTTTTTGTCACACATTCTTCTAAAATATTATTCAAAACTCTTTTTTTTTCTCATCTCAAAGAATGGCCACCAAGCAGGTGCTTATTTAATTATTAGGACCGCCAGAACCTTTTGTTCTCCTCTTTCTTTTGTGATTTGAAGTTCCTATTTGTTGATCTTGACCTGGTCGAGAACTGAATGTGACAAAGGCTAGCGTGGTTTTACTTTCGTCCTTTTTTGTACGTAATTGAACCGATTGCTACCGGGCTTACCCATATAAGCCGTTTGAATTTGTAATGACAGCAGTCTTCCTTGACGATTTCTCCAAACAAAAATTGATTTGACTATTCTTTCGGCTGCCGGTTGCCCATTTTATATGGATGCAGAATCCGTCTCCTCCGCGGCAGCCGAATTTTGCAGATCCTTCGGCTGATGCTTCCCACAGAATCCGAAAGATTCTCTCCGGCTGCCGGCGCATTTATAATTTACTGCTCAAATGACTTCGAAAATGTTTGCGAAATAACCAGTGTTGTTACCTCTTAAATTATTTTTATAACAAAGCTTGAAAAATCATACAATGTTAATCCACTGTAAATAATCCACCATCTAACTTCAGTCTACTTAATTTTTATCAAGAGGTTTGATAGTAATAACGGAACTCTTATCACGTCGTTTAAATATCGAAACTATAATTAACATACAAGAATTGGAGCTATTCTCTTACCAAAGGTTAACTTTTTAAAGATGGAATGACAAGCTTGTTTCTAAGTTTCTTAACCCTTGTTTGATAGGGTAGGTGATGAAGTGCACAAGGGATTAGAGTTCATGGCAAAATTGGACTATCACAAGGTAAAAGTTGACAAAAAGGGGGCAAATGATTTCATGATGACTTTGGGTTTGCTCTTTTTGGCAAATCGTTAGTCTAATTTGATTGGAGTCGAGTCAAGGAATAAAACTCAGCGCCTTTGGCCCTGACGCAAGACCAATTTCGGGCAAAATCCATCATTTAGGCACTCGTTTAATCGTTTTGACTATTTATGGTAATTTTCATTTTTGCAATATCTCTTTCTATGAAATTCGGATTTAGATTCCGTTTGTTGGGGGATGATTCTGAAGATAAGTATTTTCCATCTTAGTAATTATCTTATATTTTCCATTTTTGGAAAAAAATATCTTTATTTTATTTTATTTTAGTTTCCGGATTCTCCTAGGTTTTTCTTATATTTTATCAGTTGTAAGCCGAGGCAGTAGTTCTTGAATTCAATAAAATCTTTCTTGAGAATTTTCTCAATTTGTGATTATTCATCTTCCCTATAATATCTTCGCTACGTCAGTAGGTCAAAATTGACAATTAATTTTAATCACTCATTTTATAGGACAAAACCTTTAAACCACACATTTAACTACTCTTATCAAAATCTTATAAGTTTTGTTTTAATCCCCACCAAACAGGTAGGGCACCTTGGACATGGCTTTTGGATTCATATGATTAATTTTATAAAAGTGTTTTTTCTAACTAGAAAAGCTTTTAGAGGAAGTTGGTCCAACGTGACTTCATCTAGAAATACTTTCAAAATATAAAACCCTTCTATGAATTAGTTTTCAAACAAGATTAAGGTAGTCTTTCTATAGGAAGCAAAAGTCATCCTGTGTTTATAAGTGCTTATAAATTATGGGTCTATATAATGAGTGGTAATAGTGTACAGTGAGTTGTAGGATCTATGAAATATAAGAACTAATCAATCTAATACAAAGAAAAGAGAAACACATTACTCTAAAATGCTGTATTTTGTCAGAATTGAGTTGAGGACTAGATTAGATGATGATATAAGATCTCGACATTAACGAAAATTGGTTGGTTCTCACTTCTCTCCAATAAAGTACAACAGAAGCCGTCGTCACATAGTAAATAATGTTACCTAGGGAGACAAATGAAATATATATGTGCGTGTGGACACTTCTCTCATAAAATAAGAACCCAAAAAAAAAAAAAAAAAAAAAAAAATAGCCGTCCTTACATACTAGTGGTCTTGTTTGTTTCCCATTTTTGTAAGAATGAAAAAGAAAAATATAGCCGTTATGGTCCTCACACTTGAAATAAAAATTTAAATTTGGTGGCTTAATGTGATGGATAACGATCAAATTTTTCATTTTAATGGAAAAAAATGTGGAACAAATAGATTTTCGTACAGCATTGTTAGATAGACGTATGCGTATATAAACACATTGCATGCATGCTTGGAAATGTGAATTTTAAGTGTCAAAAAATAAGTCTGACATGTCTATAATATATACATGCTTTTTTACCATTTTCACATGCCTTTTGTGCAGAATTCTGAGTCTGGTTATGATTATGAAGGCAACAGCGAAGTATTTGGCAGGAATTGAAGGGCCAAGTGGTTATGGTTCAAAATCAACAGCTGAACAAGTTACTCAAGATTGTTTATGTTCAATGCAATCTCATCTTACTGCAATAATCACCGGTATGTATTCTCTATTTCATCGTTAACCATCTTATTTAAAAGTTTTAGAGAGGGACATCGTGTGTAGTTAAAATTTTGTTTCCTCGTATGTTTAGTTCATGTTCGTGATTTGATACAAAAATGTCACATGCACAAATTTCAAAAATTGGTGGCGGATAAGTTAACAATCACATCTTAAAAGTTTAAGTTGTTAAAGAGGAATTCCATGTATTCATTTAAATCTGGTCTTTAACAGTGTACACATCAACTATGTATATGTAAAGTTCAGCCAGAGGAGAAACTTTAGAAGGTGCACAATGCGCACTCGCACACCTGCACTGAAGTCGTTGTTCAACACTTGGAAAGTTTTCTTCGTTTTAAAGAATATGGAGGAGATTCTCTAAGGTCCTGTTTGTCACCCATTTTTTTCAAAATGCATTTTTCTCTTTCTTCTTTTCAACTACATATTTTTTATTAAAATAATATTACACGTAAATCAAAAACTTTTTCTTATTTTTCAACCACACATTTCCTATCAATTTACTATTCAAAAATGCATTTTTACATAAAAATTCCTACCAAACACCCTCTAATTTTAACTGTTTTGTATAATAAGGTGCGACATCTGGTATCGGTGCTGAGACCGCAAGAGTGCTGGCGAAGAACGGTGTAAGAATAATTATTCCGGCGAGGGACTTGATTAAGGCAGCAGAAGTGAAGGAATCCATACAAAACGAGAGTCCGGCAGCAGAAATAATCTTATTGGAGATGGACTTGAGTTCATTTGCTTCAATCCAGAAATTTTGTTCTGATTTCTTATCATTAGGACTACCCCTTCATATCCTCATGTATATATTTTTCGCTCTATCTTTCGTATTCTTTTTTGTTCACCATTCTTGTTTTGTCGGGTGTAGAAGACTATGAGTGTCTAAAATTTAACGGTTTAATGAGATTTGGAGTGCATAAAGCAGACAAAGATTCTGAATTCAAGTATCACTTTTACCTACTCATGAAAATCAAGCACGTATCAGACCTTTGACGAAAAAATGAGCTAAACTTGGGAGAAGCATGTTGAATACCAAGTTTGTTTATAAATAAATGTGTCTCTTATGTGGTTCGACCATTCTAAAATTGGTTGTGATGGCATGAAACGTTTAGGTAGTGCACAATACTGATTACAGATATTGACTTTTCTTTTCTATGTATGCAGCAACAATGCTGGCAAATATTCACACAGATTGGAGTATTCTGAAGACAAAATTGAGATGACTTTCGCAACAAATTACTTAGGTATATTCTTCTATTTCCAGCTTGAATTTGTGATATGTATTATATCAAGTATTCAAAGAGGATATTAAGCATATAGAGCAAAAATTAAATATTATTCCATTTTTATTTTTTCAGGACATTTTCTGTTGACAGAAATGTTGCTGGGGAAAATGGTGGAGACAGCCGCAGAGAGTGGCATCCAAGGAAGAATAATAAATGTCTCTTCTGTAATACACAAATGGGTAAAAAAAGAAGACTTTTGTTTCAGCAAAATGCTCAACCCAAAGAGGTAACACATGTTTAAGGGTAAAATTTTCCGGGAAAATTATAATCAGCATATAATGATTTGAGTTCATTCTATTAATAAGATTAAACTTTTAAGATGAAATTTTAAACTCAATATGGAATTAGAGCCCAAAAAGCTTAAGCTAGCTATGGTTTCTAAAGGTCAAATAGACAATTAGATTTCAAGATTCGTGATCTCAAATGATCCATCTTCTTACAGGATCATCTCAAGGGTAAAATTGCTTATTGTTTAAATAACTAAATAATATATAAGAGCTCGACTACTCTTTAAACAATAAGCAATAAAATTGCTTATTGCTATACATTCCTCTATTTATAATGTCACTCACATGAATCATTTTTTTATAAATAATTTTGAGTTCGACTACACGAATCATTTTTCATCACTTCAATTGTTTCATTGCTAGATTGTTAACATATGTTCACAATGCATTCATGCAGTTATAATGCTACTCAGGCTTATGCTCAATCAAAACTAGCCAATATATTGCATGCCAAGGAATTGGCAAGAAAGCTCAAGGTAGAGTATACACAAATCGACTCATTTCTGATTAATACTTTTCGCTAGAGAGGCCAAACTGCCATATAGCTGAAAAGGGTTGGGAGATCCAAGCCCAGACGACCTGTCCCGAAAAACATTTTTTAGTCTCACCATATTGTTTCTTGGAATTAATCTTACAGGCAGGAAATGCAAATGTAACAGTCAATGCATTGCATCCAGGAATTGTCAATACTGGTATTATCAGGGATTACAAAGGCTTTATTTCAGGCATGCATCATTATTTATTTATTATTTATTTTTTTTGTTTTTCTGTCAATGAACTTAACAAAATTACTAATTAATCCATGAGCAATTTTGAAACTTGCAGATTCTATTTGTTTCATGATCTCTAAGTTGCTGAAATCAATATCACAGGTTCTCTACATTCTCCTGTTTCCATCTTTCAGCTGTAGATTCAAATAAAAATACGCGTTGAACTATCTCGTTAGATAAATCTGAATTATAAAACTAATATAATAAATGCGTTGAATCATGTCCCTTCATGTACAAGTTATATTTGTTCTTCATCAATAACCTGATGTCCACAATTTTTGTAAAATGAGTGATAATATGACTTTATATTATGTTAGCTTTAATACCATATGAAAGCAACTCATATAAAAATTTAAACCATTACAAATAGAACAAAAGTTCTGTTTAACCCTCATTTTTCTCCAAACTCATTTTCGACCGCACATTTGATAGGATCTACAACTTTTATCAACTTTTCAACCATACATTTCATCAATATTTATCAAAATCTACTAAAAATATGATTTTTTAGCTAAAACAAATAGGGGCTTAAATTATATCTTTAACCAAATACTTCGTCATCAATCTACTCAAAATATTTACCCTGCACTTTTTCGAATCTATCCTAATATATGTACATCCGTAATGTAATTTGTAGGGTGCAGCAACGACATGTTACGTCGCATTAAGCCCGCATATGGGTGTGGTGAGCGGCAACTACTTTGCAGATTGTAACGAGAGTCCGTGCTCAGTGCTAGCAAACAATGAAATTGAAGCACGCAAACTATGGGAGCAAACTCGCCACACTTTCACAAAGAGGCAATTACTTAAGCCACTAGGATAAATATTGAAATTGGATCTATTCCTAAGTAGTTTTAGACCTGTAAATAATAATAAATCAAAGGGAAATAAGAAAAATAGTCTATGATCTTAGGCATAATCCTATGCCTATGAGAAAAGAATATTTGTAACATTGGCTTATTTGATCCAGTAAACATGTGTTTCACTCTATATAAACTATATGCACAACAGTATCACATGTTTATAATTCAAATCTGTTTAAGAATTTGTTACCTCGCGATTGAATTGTAGATAGCTCTGTAGTTGAACCACTTATATTTTAACTTCTTATAGTATGGTTTTCAAGCCTTTCCAATTTTGATGCAATTTTATGGACAAATTTGTGATATTTCCATCTTAATATCTTTTGATCTTCGAGTTTGTAGTTGTTGGTGCTTCTGATTTTAAGCCACTATTGGCTCCGTTAATAGGTTGAAAACACTAAAAACGTCAAAAATATGTTTTGAAAAAATCTTCATTTTGATTATAACATTTCTGATTTGTAATGTCTTATTAAATTTTGAAAAAAATTGCAATAGAATACTACTACCAGAGTACCAGAAATTGTATGCTAAAAGCAGTATGCATTGATACAGAATTAGTGATGCAGGATAAGTGGGATGATTCCTGCAGAGAACTTAAACAGCAGAGTAGCACAAGAAGAACAAGAATTCCAACAAGAAGAAGAAGAAGAGAGGGGGGGGGGGGGGGGATGGGAGAAACTGGAGAGAAAGGGGGGAAGAAACCGGAGAAGAGACCATGGGGAAGAGAGGGGAGGGATGGAGGAAATTGCTGCAAGCCAAAACAACCTCCCTTCTAATTTTTCATCGTTCCCTTGAAATTACATTACCAAGTCTTATAAATAGAGAAACCAATAAACCTAAAAAGTAAGTGGGCTTGGGCCAAACCCAATAATACAAGCCCAATGAAATAAAACAATAGTAAATGATCCACCAGAAAATAAGCTAGCCCAAACAAGTAATGTCCTCGTCAATTAGGTTCCAGAAAACCTTCTGCTACATTTAAAAACAAAACAATATGCTCAGTGGAATACATCAGACTAATCTGATTTTTTGTTTTTGTGATGAAAAGTTAGGCCTCTCCAACTTTCTCACCATTGTGTAGTATTTAGTGGCCCAAGGACTTGCATGTAGAAGACTATTTTTATGTCAACTAGGTTATTTGTTATTCTGTTGTTCGCATTTCCTTCATTGTTCATATTAACATTCAAAACAGAGAAATCATGCTCTGATGGTTAGGACATTATTCCCCTGTTTGATGGCCATTATAAAGAGAAATTAGGGAAAATTTATGATGGTTAGGACATTAATCCCCTTTTCTATGGAATTCTGCAATCTTATGGCAAGAACATCTGTTTGAGAACGCTGAAATGAAATCTGACACAGAGGAAGACTTATTGGAAGATATGGAATTAAGTTTCCTTGGTTTTTCTGGTTCTCGTATCTGCACACCTGAAGATCTAGTTACATTTATAGACTGGCCTCAAACTTAGTTGAACTAAAACGGGATGACTGGATGAGCGTGGCATCTATACTCTTTTACAAGGATTAAAGAAGTTATTGCTTTTCAAGGAGAGGGATCAGATTCTTGAAAGTTTTTATCAGGTGCATCCTGCATGGAGATTATGCTACTGCAGCGAAAGGAACTTACTCAAGCTGCATTCTAACAAATACTTGAATTCTAGGTTCTCATGTTCCTGCAATTTAAAGAATGCTCAGTATGCTAGGCTCTCGACTGGATTAAGGAATCATGTTTGTTCCTGCAATCTCAAGTAAGAGAGCTGGTCAATTAATTTCTGGGTTGAGCTAACTTTCACGAGCAAGAAGCTAATAGAACAAGAATTCATGCTATTGGTTATAAAACTTTTTATCAACCAGAAAACCATCGGTTTCACTTCCCCAAAAAGATTAAGGGGAATGATTGTGAAATTTTCTTTATGTTAAGGCTACACTGAAGTCTTTTAAATTTGTATCCTGTGTATGAGCCGTTCCTTAATACGTGGGCTACCTAATTTTGTTTGGTACTTCGTTTGACCATCTGCAAGCACATTTCCGAAAACTAAATTTCAAAGACAAAGCTGCTGTTAATCTGCAGATTTTCTAGGATTGACTCGGACAAATTTTAGTTGGAACAGATATGAAAATGGTTCTATGATTGACTTGGACAAATTTTCTGATGTATTAAAAGAAAACATGAAAATGCTTAGTCATGTACACATTATTTAAGCACGTGCTTACGCATCCACACCAAAATTCTTTACGCGACTATGGTTTGTAAACCCTTCCAGTCGTGTTTTGTATGTTATACAGTATTAGACTATAAATTAAAATTTGTTGTTAGATGTTAGTTCTCTTAAACATGTTAGGTTTAATGCCTCGGGTTGAAATTTTGGAAGATCGCGTTTGGCTTGAATTTGGAAAGAAATCAAATTACATCCAAAATTTTTTCATTTTACGCGGTTTAACCTAATTCTAGTATATTTTCTTACCTTTTAGGACTCCATTAGGTTTATGGACATGGCCTATAAATTAAAGACTCTTTTGTCAGTTTTAGATGAAGCATTATTGCTGACCTGTATTATTCTCTTCATATTGTTGGTTTAATAAATTTCATTGTTCCTCTACTTAGTTTCTCTTTTTTCTACTTTACTTTAATCTTGTTTTCGTGTTGTGATCTTAAATATTTCATTATTGTCATTAAATCTCAATCTTGCATCGTCTTTGAGATCAACAAGTGGTATCAGAGCCAGGTTGTAGGTTCTTCGTGATTTGGTTGAGATTTTCAAGGAGGAATTCGTAGAAGTATGAAATTTCGCTACTGGATCACAATACAAGATTTTCGCTATGACAAGTAAAAGTGAAAACTGTGTTGACGTAGATGGATCTTGACGATGCTTTGCAGCGTTTTGAGAGGATGCCAGCAAATTTGTCAATGGAGGAGAAACAATGGAGGGATTGAAAGGCTCTAGCGCAGATTCATCGTCACTTATCCAACAATATTCTGCAGGATGTCTTGAAGGAGAAGACGGCGGCTGTTTTGTGGCTCAAGCTGGAGCAGTTGTGTATGACAGAGTCTAACGAGAAAACTGACTCCAAAGTAGAAGCTGTATTCCCATCGCATGGTGGAAGGAGGGTCACTGCAGTACCATCTTGTTGTATCCAAGGAGATTGTCGTAGATTTGCAAACGTTGGAGGTAAAATATGATAAAGAGGACCTGGCCTCGATCCTATTGTGTTCGCTACCCAATTCTTTTTCATCGTTTCGTGATACTATATTGTATAGTCGTGACACACTGACCATTGAGGAGGTATATGATGCCACGTTCTCAAAGGAGAAGATGAAACTGTTGGTTGGAGATTCCACATCTAAGGGTGGAGATGCTCTGGTTACTCATAGTAATCGACGGAGGGGTAGATTGAAGGTGAGATACAGTAATGTGTATTGTTATTACTTCAAGAGGAAATGACACATTAAGAAAGATTGCGACAAGTTGCAGGGTAAATATGATTTATATGCAAATCATGCGGGACAATCAGGTAACGAGACTAACATTGTTGAGAATTTTTTGGATGATGGAGATGTAATGTTGGTTGTATTTGATGGGGAATCCAAATCTGGGGAGTGGATTCTGCATGTTCATATCATATGTGTTCCAATAGGACTTTGTTTTAGACATATGAAATGGTGAAGCAAGGTAGAGTTGTCATGGGAAACAACCAATCTTGTCGGATTGCAGGAATTGGTCGGATCAGATTGAGGCTACAAGATGGGACAGTGATGACACTTGATCAGGTTTGCCATATTCCAGACTTAACAAAAAATCTCATATAATTGAGTACCCTGGATGCAAAGGGCATAAATTCTCTAGTGGAGGTGGAGTCTTGAAGGTTCGAAGGGGTGTCCGGGTTATACTGGAGGGATGGAAGAAGTCTCAATTGTACATCTTGCAGGGGAACGTAGAACTAGTTAAGAGAAATTTGGACAAGTTCAGTACCGTGGTGGAAGTTTAGTTTAGTACAGTACCTCTTGTGGCGAGCTCTGAGTTGGTTAAGAATACTGCTAGAGAGAGCGTTAGTGATTCTGCTTTGCCACCAATTTCAGCAGATATATTGTGCTCAGTTGCTAGGGTTGGACTCATGGAGCATAGGTACTGTGGTGTCAATAATGTCTGGAATGCTTTAGGGGACGTTGAAGGTGACAGTTCTAGCAAGGGGCCTTCTGATCCAGTATATGATATGGTTTCTGCTACAAGGTGTGCTTCGACCCTGTTTGATTAACAATAATTCCTTGGTAGAATTTTGGAAACCCGGGATTTGAGTTCGGGTGTCACTTGTGTACACCATGCAGAGGACGATGGTTTGGTGATGGAGATTTTGGTTACTGTGTTGAGGAGATTGGTCAATTCATTTCGAAGTAGATAGATTTGAAATTTTGGAGTTTCGTTCGTTACACCGAAATTTTGAGTCAAGTTGAAGATTGTTAGGCTTAATGCCTCAAAATTGGGTTGAAATCTTGGAAGATCACGTTTGACTTGAATTTGGAAAGAAATCAAATTACATCAAAAAAAATTTCCTTTTACGCGGTTTAACCTAATTCTAGTATATTTTCTTATATTTTAGAACTCCATTAAGTTTATGGACGTGGCCTAAACATTATTGTTGTCCTGTATTATTCACTTCATATTGTTGGTTTAACAAATTTCATTGTTCCTCTACTTAGTTTCTCTTTTTTCTACTTTACTTTAATCTTGTTTTCATATTGTGATCTTAAATATTTCATTATTGCCATTAAATCATAATTTTGCATCGCCTTTGGGATAAACAAAACATACACCACAACTGTATTGATATGCTTGTGTTGTAGAATCTTATCAATGTCATTAAAGCATATCCAATACACAATATTATGATGAATAGTATGATAACAAATTTTTCACGACATTTTTTAGTGCAGTTCAATCCAAAAAACCTAAGCAAGTACTTG